TCCTGCTCAAATGGCAAAAAATAAGTGTAAGAAACAAAAATAACACCTGCTAGTCCTAAGAAAAGAATGTGGAATCTGTACATACCTTTCCTCTTCTCCTTCCAGGAGTTTTCGGTAAGCACTAATCTCCATGTCCAGGGCTAATTTAACATCAAGCAGTTCCTGGTACTCTGTAAGCTGCTGCTGCATCTGGTCCCTCATTTCTGTCATTTCCCTCTCCTTTGCGTCTAGCATCTTCCTAAACTTTTCCCGCTCACCAGCCATCATTTCCTCCAATTCACGAATGCGATCTTCTGCTGCACTAGCCTAGGGAGACAGCACAATAGAAAACCCACTTGGCATCTATGTGGGTACAGTAAAAAAGTTAAAAATTCATCTTCCTCCCAAATGAACACAAAAAATTTCTCTGAAAAATTCAGAAAATATGATGGGATAGAAATGTTAATATATCCAATATAGTGCTCTGTATTAGAGTTGAAAGCAAATTTAGTCCCTTTACCTGCTTCTGAAGGCCAGAAAGCTGGTAGCTGAGAGCTTCTATTCTCATGTGAGCCTCCTTCAACTCCTCTCGAGCTGCACCAGCAGCTTTGTCATTTTGGTCAGAGGACAGTTTGGCATTCTCCAGCTGGAAGCAAGTTTTATACAAGTAATTTGCATTGAGTTAGATATCCTGCAAATATTATTTTGGTAAAAAATAGAAGCTAATCAATCTTAAACAATTTTAAATGGAAATTTGGCAAGTTTATGATACGAATTGCGTAACATTAAGGAAATGCCCTAAGGACCAGGAAAATCTATTTCAGTCCTATTCCTACAGGATTTGCTTGTTCTATTTAAAAAAAAAAAAAAGTCTATTAGCCCTTCCATTATACAAGCAGCCTTATGGTTTCCAAAAACTGAGGTTCATGTGATCATACTATCTACCCGTTTGTTGTTAAGAACAATCACAGTGGGTCAGAGCAAAGGCTAACTAGTTCATGTCCTGGTCTAACAGTTCCCTGGATGCCCAGGGACTAAGCTCAATAAAATATTTTACAGGTATTATGTCTCAGCTGGCCATTTGCAACTCTGGGACTTCCTAAGCCAGAGACAGTAATTTGATGCTTACTATATCTCAGTGGATTTTTCAGGCAGGAATTTGTCTCTGCTTTTTGAATTTATTGGGCAGGGAGTTTAGCTATATATTAATGAAGAACAACCTTCTTTTGTTTCTTCCAAATCTGCCACTGGACAATCACTGTCCCTACTTCTACTGAAAAATAATAAACAATCACTCCTCATCCACCTTTGTGCTATCTATCCTTTTAGAGACATTCATTGTATCTTCCCTTTCTCTTAACTCATCTGTTTTCCCAGGTGAAGTTTTATTTTTAAACTTTCCTCATGCAGGACCTGTTTCATACTTTTAATTGTCTTTGCTAGTCTTCTGTGTATTACTCCGTACTACCTTTTCAAGATGGACGAAAACTACCCACATTCGATGCATCCTGCCCCAGAGACAAAACAATGCTTTTTGTTTATTCTCTTTTCCTAATAGTTCCCATTATTCAATTTGTTTTCAGTTTTTGTTAATTTCACCTAGTGAACAACCTTCATTTCTAGTATCTAATTTTAATCAAATCTGAAAGAGCAACAACAGCGCTCAGAACTATTATGTGGTAAGTTTCATCAAAGTAGATAGCTAGAAAAAGCATCATTTTCATGCCTTGCAGCTGGAGTTCAATAATTCTGCTACACACCATGAAATCCACCCAGGAGCTAAACTGCCCCAATTCTAAGAACAGTTACAGGCAGAATGTGTTCTTCAGCCACACAGCACAAAGTTTTATAAAACCAACCTTCATTAGCTCTACTGTTCACAGGGTTCCGAGTAGGGAAGAAAACACACACAGAACCTTCTTTAGGCTAAGGGTTTTGAAGGAATTTCAAGTCAAATATATACCCCATTACTTCTTGTGAAGTTTAAAATGAAAAATTATTTGAATGCTGACAGCCATTCACTTCCTTACAGTCATGCTGGCATAGTGCCAAATCTTCAAATTTAGAATTTCTATTGCTTATTATCAAAGATGTTGGTCAGCAAGAAGTAAGCTTTTATCCAAAACCCACTCATCCTGGAGAAGTTCAGTAGCTAAACTTAAACAACCTGCTTTGACATCATATTCCTTAACAGTGCTCTCTGAACAGGGACAGAGCTTTATCCAGTGTCGTGGTTTAGCCCCAGCTGGCAACTAAGCACCACGCAGCCCCTCGCTCACTCCCCCTCCCGCAGTGGGACGGGGAAGAGAATTGGGAAAAAAACTTGTGGGTTGAGATAAACACGGTTTAATAGGACAGAATGAAAGAAGGAAACAATGATGATAATACCAACAAAGGAATGTACAAGAACAAGTGATGCCCAATACAGCAATTGCTCACCACCCCGTGATCGACAGCCCGTCCCCGAGCAGCGATTTCCACCCCCCGGCCAACTCCAGTTTAGGTACTGGGCATGACGTCGTATGGTAGGGAATATCTCTTTGGCCAGTCTGGGTCAGCTGTCCCGGCTGTGTCCCCTCCCAGCTCCCCGTGCATCCCCAGCCTGCTCGCTGGCAGCCCAGCACAAGAAGCTGGACTGTCCTTGACTGCTCAGCAACAACCCAAAACATCAGCACATTATCAACAGTTTCTCATCCCAAATCCAAAACACAGTCTCGCACTAGCTTCTGTGAACAAAACCAGCTCTATCCTGGCTGAAACCAGGACATCCAGAAATTCACAGAATGAAGTTCATAGCTAAGCCCACTTTTTGCTTCACATTCCAATTTCATCCATGCAACATAAACCATCCTTTATTTGGGGAACAAAAACCTTAATTTGTTCATCCCCCCGTCAAAATCTTGTCAGTTTTTCATTCTCTAAGTCTGTATTTTGCACACTTTTTTTTTCCCCCCCCCTCCTTACTAGGCATCTTCTACCCTGGATCTTTTTCTGACTGTCATAAGTCAATCCAAATACCTTGCTGTATAAAAATATTGTATATTCCTACCTTCCATGAATAATGCCAAGACTGCTAATTCTACTTAATTTTGGGGTTTAGTATCTATTATCTATACTGTTGCTGCTGTAAGAAATAGTTAAATATTTGTGTATCAATGTTTCTCAAACTGTAAATCAAACCAAAGAATTCAAAGCGAGTTTCAGTGAAGGGCAAGGAAGAACAATGTTTAGCAGCACCATAATTTCTCCATCACAAGAGTATTAGAAGTGGCTGTAATTATTGGCAAGTATTTTCAATAACCAGAAAACTGGCAGCTGCCTAATTCCTTCAGGTAGGGCAATGAATATTAAAAAAACCCAAAACCTGTAATCAGCAACTGTACCAATAACAAAGCTGCTACTCCTCCCATGTCCCCAGTGCTGGATGAACTGGGGTTTACTAACTCAGGATTTGCATCGGTGTGACAGATACACTTGACCCCTAGCCTTACTTTGATTCAGACAGACTAAGGAACAACAGGCCTTACATCCTGGGGGTGAGCCTGCAAGCTAGAAAGACCCTGGCTCACATAAGAGGGAGTGAAGGTGTCTTGAAAAATATTTCAAAGGTGGTTTCAAAACCCAAAAGTGCAAGATAACGAAAGCACAACAGAAGATAACAGAGCTAAAACACCTATCTTGTCTATACTATTGACGAGCAGGCAACTACTGCACCTTATAAATATTACTATCAGGATGGGCCCAGCTGGAGCTCTCCCTGAACTGCAGCTGGACTGCACACCAGGTGACTCTCCCCTTGAGTAGGGATGTCTCTCAAGGTTAGATTCCTTACCCAAGACTGAGATCCTTCCTTACCCAAGGCAGAGTCATCCGTTACCTGCACCTCGGTAAGTGACCTATAGCATGCTGAATTAATACTATGAAACACTACTAATCCACGTAACTACTCAATATTATCATAAACATTGTATGGATAATTCCATTAGACATAAACTGTTGACCAAGTCTGAGACTAAAATTGCAACCAGCCATACCTAGGCTTCAAAAGGAGTTTAGGAGACAAGGGCGTCCACTCTGAACCTCATGACTCAACAGGAGGGTTCTACTTGCTCTTTGCATCTCCAGCCTCTGCATGAATCATTCTAACTCAGTTTTCCTTTGTATGTTCCCTTCCATGCAGTAATTCATAAGGTGAGCCTTTCCAAACTTATGACACCTTGTCAAACCAGTGTTAAACTTTGTTAAATTCCATTGAACTTACTGAAATCTGTTAAGTTATTATTTACCTCAATAAAACATATTGCTGCTTGTCTCTTTTGAGTGAGGTGCATTCTACTCATACGTGACAACAGGCAAATAAACCAAAAGAGTGAAAATATTTTTAAGAAGGATTCTCCTGGATTAAGTTACTCCTATGTTCACACTTCCCCTCTGCTCTGGTGAGACCCCATCTGCACTACTGCATCCAGCTCTGGAGCCCTCAGCACAGGAAAGACATGGACCTGTTGGAGCTGGTCCAGAGAAGGCCACAAGAGGGATGGAACACTTCTGCTGTGAAGACAGGCTGAGAGTTGGTGTTGTTCAGCCCAGAGAGGAGAAGGCTCCAGGGAGACCTTATTGCAGCCTTCCAGTACTTAAAGGGGGCTGGTAAGAAAAATGGGGACAGACGTTTTAGCAGGGCCTGTAGCAACAGGACAAGGGGTGACGGTTTTAAACTAAAAGAGGGTAGATTAGGCTAGATATAAGGAAGAAATTTTTCACAGTGAGGGTGGTGAAGCACTGGCACAGGTTGCCCGGAGATGTGGTAGATGCCCCATCACTGTAAACATTCAAGGCCAGGTTGGATGGGGCTCTAAGCAACCTGAGGTAGTTGAAGATGTCCCTGCCCCTTGCAGGGCGGTTGGACTAGATGACCTTTAAAAGGTCCCTGCCAACCCAAATCATTCTATGATTCTATGATTTCCAATTTATATACCATGGTTTTCATCACCAAAGTTGGTCAAAAAAGGTCCAATACCTTGCCTGAAGTTTCCCTGCCACCAATGAAGCCAACAACTGCATCTAGTAATTTTTCAATCCAGAACTAACTTAGATAATTGAAGTGTGGTAAGTCTTACACACATTTAAAAGAGTATCGGGGCTGGATAAGAACATTGCAAAGGCTGCAGTAAGAGTAAAGTGACGAAGAAACCTTAGGAATGGAGCCCCTCCCAACTATGTCCATATTATTTTGCAAGCCCACTGCATCCAGGCAAAAGCCCGTATTGAAATGCAGACATCCCCCAAGCTCTCCAACCCATCCCTCCGGGTAGTCAGATGCTTAGAGCCAATTTTTGAACCTACTGCACCATCTCCATTTTAGATTAAGAACCGGATCTACTGACATAAAAAAAAACCCTTATAGCAGAAGACATTGTCTAATCAGCTATTGCATGACATACAGTATTCCCACTGTGTCCTCCGCAGTGATCAACAGCTCCATGTGTTTTCTCACAAACTGGCCTTTCTTGGCTAAAGCTATTACCTCTGGCTATAGCCTCCCTGGAAATACATCTGCACACGTGCACCAGAAGAGGCATGTGAACACTAGGACTTCTTCAAATTATAATTGTCTCCTTAAAGACAGTAGGGCTGATGGAAATGGTTTTATCTCACCAACTGAACTTCCTGTCAGACAGTGCTGTGGATAGCAGTAGTTACCTTAGCCTGATAGGTCTGCTCAAGCTCCATTTTGTACAGTTTGACTTGTTCATCATGTTGATTTCGCAGATCCTCCAGGGCCTGAGTCATTTTAGATTCATACTCCTGTTGGCGACTAGTGTCCACCTCCACCAGACGGTGTTCATGTCGTTTTCTTGTTTCCCTTATTTCCTACACACACACATAAAAAGGGACAAATTCCCACATTAGGGTAAACAGTACAGCCATTACATTCAGACAAATTAACTACTTCAGTACTAATTATTTAGTATATAGGAGCTAGACTACTAAAGGCATTTAAGCGTAAGAATTGCTGCATGTACTAAAAGATGCAAGGTTACCATTTTCATTTGGCAGGACATAATTCTTAAAAGTGATCTGACTTAAACTGTATATAGGTATTTTTAAACCTCTTATGCTACAAAAGTCAAAGGGGGGGGAGAACACATGAATTTTTACATAGCAAAGATAGATTCCATGTGCTGCACTACAAACCCTTTCCTTCTCAATACACATGCCTACATTACAATAGCAGTCTACAAGGAGTCAGATAAAAATTAACAACTTTTGTGACTGAGACATATATTGAAAAAAAATCATTATGGAGAAAAACTGCATCTTCAAATTTCACCTTTAAGCATATGCAGATAATCTTTTTTTTCCTATATACTGGATGACCTCTACTCATTAGATTTTGATTACGTTAGTAATAAACCAGCAACTCAAGCAATAAATATAGTTTTTTCTGGTCAGAGTTTGTACTAAGAAATTTTTATTTTTAGAGAAGTATGAGTTCTCTGTGCCTAGAATACTGGTCCCAAACTAGTGAGGTAAGACTTACTCATGCACTTATTCATATTGAGCTCTGCAGACACCTGGCCAGGCCTGAATGGATGGTGTGAGAAAGAAACAATTTCTCCCTTCAGGGTAGGACAAACAACAAGGGACTGGTTCTGAGTACTGGGAGGAGGCTTGAAGGTAGCAGCAGGGCCATGAGGAGGCAAGCAAGGCTCACTTTGCATGCCTAAACTGATGTCATACATAGCAGGCTAACGCAAATTCAAAGCGATTTTACAAGTTGCTTTGCAGAAATGCTCTAAATCTAAAAATAGACACTTAGAAACAGGCCCTTCTACTCACAGCAGTGTGATCTGAAAGCTTTCCTCTCTGCGGTGAATTTTTATGCCAAGAAAACTAGCAAGCAGCAATCTCTCAGTAACTGTAGGCAATGACCCCTTGGAGGCCACAAAAAAGTATCATGGAGGACTACAAGTATCAGGTGAAGGACAGAGCTGATCTAGCAGTTCAACACCACTAGAATAAGCAGGCTTCCCTTGCCACACTCCCAATCAAGACGTTCTAACTCTAACGGAGCTTTGGACCCCTCACTGAACCAAATGAATTTACGAACCAATTAATTTTCTCTTTTGTGTCTTGAACTGGTCTATACAAGGATCAAAGAGCTCCAGGGATGGCTAAAGGAACACCCCCACTTCAGCATGGCACACTTTAAGATTAGCTTCTGCTGTCTCATTTAGCCTCAGCTTTAGTCAGTAGCAACACAATTCTCCTCAGGAAGCAAAGTTATTTTAAGGCCCTACAACCAAGCAACATCTGTCACTGCAGTCACATGCAGCACTCTAACTACTCCAGGGCATGGAAGTGAGACAGCTCAGGGTGATCTACCTAGCTCGTTTCTTTACCATGCTCCAGTCCCTGCTCGTAACCACACGTACTGCCCGATCTGTTACATCAGTCTGGGCACTCATTTGACTCCATGGTAAGACATAACTCAGCCACTAAGCTGACAAAAATTAAACTCAACAAAAAAACCCTAAGTATTTTATTAGTTAATCAGGCTGAAATGATTTGGTGCATGGTGAGCCAAACTTCACAACTAGCACAGGTTAGATGGATAGAAGCATGTGGCAATTGCTCAGCAGCCACTAATTCAATGAGCTTGCAGAAGAACCAAAGGTCAGAGTTGGTTTTCACAAGTTAGAATGAACTGACACAACACTTTGCATCTGGTGCAGAGAGGTTATGCTTCCCTTTCCCAATTCCCCAACCCTCACCTGTGCATTCCCACTATTTACTTTATAAAAACTCTAGAGAACCTAGAGAACCTAGTGAGTTTATAAAAACTCACTAGAACCACTATGAGCCAACTCAATTCACTAAACAGGCAGAAAACTACCCCTGCAAAAAGCAGGGTAATTGCATACTGGTCTTGTCAAAGAAACAGTTTAGAGTCAGGTCCAACAACCACCAAAGCTGGTGCAAGTAAGGAGCAGGGCCATGCAATCAGGTCCAGAGAGAATGAACAAGACTTTCCCTTTCCCACAGCAGTCAGCTGCTACATTAACTCACCTGGCCATGGAACAATACTCCTGTCACAGCTCTCATGTCAGCTCCGCCACTGATTTACCACATAACTCTTGCAAAACCTTTAACTATTTTATTAGTCAACCCATTTATAGCAAGGATGATACTGATTTTCCCTATCAGAACTAGTTAGTAATTGCTTATAGTCAGTTTGAACAAAAGCTAGATAAACTTCAGGCTATGATGAGATTACTAGGTTGATAATACCTCCTCAAACACATTCTTCCTGAAATCCAGATCCTCTTGCAAGCTCTGGCACCGATTCTCCAGGTCCACACGCATGAGTGTCTCCTTCTCCAACTGCTTCTTAGCTACAGCATGACCATCTTCAGCCTAGTAAAAAATTTAAAGATAAAGGTTTAATTTTGTTTGGATCCCTATTTTCCATCCCCATAGTCCCTTTACGGTCTTCATTTGACATCTTTGAACCCATTATTCACAGCAACAAAGCTAATGTCAAGACACTGATTTTCAATTAAAAAAAAGTGCATGTGTGCACTTACAAATACTGAAAACAAATTTTCATGTTTGTATACCGGTTATTTAAAGTGTGGGATTATTTCAATACAGTATGATAATGGATCTGAGGATTATTAATCCCTCAAGAACAGTATGCTGCATGTTGTTCTTTCTTACTAGCATAGTCCCACTGGGTACTCCAGCATAAGTTTAAAATTATGCAGGACCTTACAAAGGACAACATTTAGTAACCTGGTATCTCATGAACATAGAAACCCTTACCAGAAATCTTTAAATAAAAGCTTTTGACTAGCAAAGTTTCTAAAACACCATGTTACTTTCACTATTTTACAAACATGTCTTACAATTTAGTTTTATATCCAAAGAGGGACAGGCAAAGGTTCAGCAGTAAGTGAGCTGGATCAATGACATTCAGACTATAAACTAACTGCAAAGAAAAATAACAAGTTTTACAATACACAGTCTTTCCTGTGCTAAAGCAAGGAAGCATTCACTGCCATACCTTAGCAAGCTGGGCACGCAAATCTGCCACCTCTGCTTCTAGACTGCGTTTCTCATTCAGGACAGTATTGAGTTCTGCTTCACTTCTATGGAACAGCACTTCAAGATCCTTAATACGACCCTGAGCAACAGACAAATCTGCATCTTTCTTCTTGTAGCTGAAAAAACAAAAGTTAATTATATTTATACATGGGTACACACCCATCTTGAGCATGTCTTGGTTATAAGTACAGATATTTTATTATACATATTTTATTAGGATTACTGTACCAGTAGGTGGCTCCTACAGTAACCTGCAAGTGCAACTAAAAAAAGTAATCATAAACACCTCTTAAAAAACTCACAGCTTGTACCAATGTGTTGTAAATGCATTGCCTAATAAAAAACAACATATGTCATGGGCAGGCAAGGGAAAAACAAAAAGGCAACTCTTGACAGTTAAGAGATGACAATAAAGCTGCTTTACACACAAGGTGTAAAGAGTATTTTTTCATTTCACTGCTGCACAGCATATTTAATTGCTGACATCTATCACTTTGGACTACAGCCCCTGAGAAGCAGAGCACATGCATCTCCCAGAGGCCCATGAGCATCCCCAGTGTTCTGTAACTGGCTGCGAAGTCCATTCCTAAGCCCATTCCTTAGGGCATATTCCCACACAAAGTAATCCACTACGGAAATGTTGTCACCTTTCAGGAATAAATCAGTATTTCTTCAGCAGCATTCACTACAAGCAAACTGACTCTGGTCACTTTAAACATGATTATTTGAGCTGTTATATCCAACTCACAGCAATCATAAACGTCATCTTCCTCCTGTCCACCAAGTATTTGTTTACCTTTTCCTCTAACATACTTACTTTCTGCAGTTTCTCTAGGTATGTGTCAATACATTATTAAAAAAACTGTTTTGTTATCTGAAGTAATCGTTCCTGGCTGCAGTTTAAGCTTACTGTTCTAGTCTCACACCACTGAGAACACAGACAAAAATGCATTTTGTCTTTTTCTTTTAAACCATCTTAGAATTCATTTTTCTCCTAGGAAAGCCTCAAACTTCTCTTCTATAGATCTATAGCCTGTTGTCAGTGAGCTGCTTTTAAATGCCCACAGAAATAACTTTGAAGAGGAGTCCTACTACCTAGAGTAACTAGATATAAGTCTATTCCTAGCTTACTAGGACTGCTCCTCCATGAGCATTAACACTGGAAGACACTCCAAGCTGCTTTCATTCACATTTTAATTTGCACTTAGAGGTTCAGCCTGGTTTATTGTCTTCATGCAAAAAAATTGACAGAAGGCTTTACAAAGGTGCAACCTGCTTTCAGGGCTCCGAGATGTCTGGAAGTTACGAACAGCAGCCAATGTGTCTGTTGAGATGTGCCAGTGTTCTCTGAAGGACACCAGGTTAGGGTAACCCTCTAGAGCTCTTTTTTTCCAGAATGCAGCCAACTTTGCCTAAGGGAAGTATTTCAGTGACCATGCAGGGTAGCAGTCAGAGGAAGCCACAGCAAGACAGCCACATAACTCAGAGTTGGGAGCTTACAGCTCAAGCAGGAAGACTGCTAAAAGAAGCCGATGGATAAGGCCTACATATATCTTCCTCCAGGCTTTGCTTGACTTGGGGACCTGTGACACTGGTAAAGATATAAACATCAGGACAAAAGACTTTTTTTAACCAGGCCATCAGAGTTACCTCTGCTATGACTGAATGCACCCTGACTACTACAC